GATAGGTTTGAGGGTTAAGTGCAGAGGATGTAGCCCCTTGTACAAATAAGCCCTATGAGGCTAATTGTGATTTGTCAATATGGGCTCTATTAATAAAATGTAATTGATTGATTTAAGGTATTTAATTAACTTTCAAAGTACATCTTTTTTTTTAGTTTTTTGCAATTTTCTCTTTTATTCTCTACATTACCACTCTCTACCAGAGTATAACTTCACATAACACTGCTTGAACAGATGCAGCACAAACAGGTTTTAGTACTGAGGGTTCTTGCAGATTGTCCATTGATCCTCAGCTTTTCAAAGGGGAATTAACACTCAATACGATTATATAACTATATATATTATACACTGGTTCCCATAATTCAGAGGAACTGGATAATACAGTTTGTCAGCAGTTTTAAGGGCGTAAAGGTGAAGTATGGGCCAAGGAAGAAACCTTCAGAGCTTCAAAGAGCTGATTTGATTAAGGAGGCAGATCCAGGATTCTTCTTTAACATTGTGAGTGTTTTTTTCTCTGTAAAAAGGAGAATAAATTGAATTTAAGGACTGTTGGGCCTTGGTGGACGTACTGTATGCGCTCTACAGTGTCATTTTAATATGCAGTGTAATTTTTAATTGTTCCTTTTGTATTGATTTTTAAAATGCGGATACATTTGTGTTCACTGAACTATTTCACTACCACTTACAACGCAGATTTTTTTCTGATGGAGCCCATTACTAGAAAACATCTAGTGTCAGATCAATGATTTAAGAATTTTGATTAAGTCTCGTCAGTTATTTCTGCAGTGAAGCTTGCAAATACTGTATCAGCTACTTATAAATATATTAATCCACAAGTGGTGGTGGGATTCAGGCTTTGGTATTCAGAGGAAAAAAAGGAAGGAAAAAAATATGAGAGGAAAAAAAACGTTTAAAACTATATTAAGGAGAAATGTGTGGGGACTGACACTGCAACTGATATTATTAACTGATATTTATTTCCCTAATGCACATTTTGACCGGACCAAAGTCCACAGAAGTCAATGTAATGTTTTACTCCATCCCTACACATGTCCTGGTCTCGCTCCATTACCCTCCCCACCCCCGTAAACCACCGTTTTAAATAACATCTCAATCTCCACAGCATTGCTCGCATGTTTATTTTTTCCAAGAGAGGCCGGCGGAGAGGATTTGGCCGCTGTCAGCAGTTGCTGGAGGGCACAAGCCCCATACTCGAATCCCAAACTAAGATTATGATATAAAACTCAATCAATCCCCTTGTTCCAGCGCGGTGAATCAGTGGTGATGGCATGACCTAGTTGGATGAATCTAATCTAAGCAGTGACTGACGCTGCAAGGACAAAAAGGAGCTCAGTGGGGGGGATAACAAAATACATTCATTAGATAAATATTATGGAGGAAAAAAAAGGAAAAAGCAGGACCTCACTGTGTGTTCCCCTCAGTGTATCTGTGACATTTCTCAGTGTTGTAGCTGAAATATGTTCAAGTTCACCACAAACTTAATACACCTTCACCTTGAATATATCCTTATTGCAAGAGTAATCATTTTCAGAGGTAGTAGTCAAGTGTAAGAAATATTGAAATCACATGGAAATAGCAGATCTGGGCAGGATTAGATACAGTTATAGTAGTAGTAGTAGTTATCTAGGTCTTGCTGATACGCCTTGTATCAAATAACTAATTAAAACCACCTTTAAAAAAAACATATGAACAAATGTCAGTGTGACAGGAACTACCTAAAATGACAGAAACCCTCCCTGGGAAATCCCTGTTGTGAACATTGACTTTTTAGTTTGGTCCATGTCCCATCCACTAACAAGGAGGATGTGGAATTCATGACATATACAGCAGCCAGCCACTAGAAGGTGATCAAGATGCTTTGGCTTCACTTTTGGGAAGCAGTCGTCCATATTTACTGTATATACAGTCTAGTGTTCAGTGTGGGAACCTATAGGCGTATGCATGGTTTAGGTGTGTGGCTGTGCAGAGAGTGTGAAAAAAGTTCATTTTTAGAAAGAGAGTCTTTGGGGAAACATGTTAATGAGGTTTATTTTAAGAATTGTGTGTGAGCAGTGAGAGAAACTGTAAAAAAATATAAAGACATTTTCTGAACTGCAGCTTCCTCCATCCTCAGCTCCAACACACTCATGCCAAGCTTCCTAAACTACCAGGGGAGCAGGTTAGGAAGTAGAGACACACACATACACACATAGACACACACACACACTAAGCTGTGTATGTTTTCTGCCACTTTGTGCGGCTGTGAGGTCCAGACAGATGGGCCGTTCTGGCAACTCTCTTGAGTCCTTGTGCCAGCACCAGGCAGGCACACAGTGCTGATTGTTATGGTATTTGTGTGTCTATGTCTGTGTGTTTGCGTGTGTGTGTTGTCTGAGCTGTGGGGGTAGAACTGATCTCAGCCACAGGAATCCAAAGAGGGGATGAGAGGTAGACAGAGGGAAAGAGAATGAGGAACACCTACATCACACAGCAGGAGCATTTAGACCTGTTTGTTTAACTCTCCGACGTGTTGATTTTCAAAGCTTGTGAATTTTTACGACTCGAGATAAGTTACAACTAATGGATCGAGCCGAGGGCCAATGAGCCAACAATTCGCTCCCTTGCATTTTGTATGCCACTGTTGAATGTCCTGGTATTACACTGAACATTATCTTAAATACAATGTATATATACATACATATCCAAAGCTATTCATGTGGTTAAATAAATCATAACCATGACAAACTTAGTCGCCAATAATCCAGTGAGGTTTCTCTCTTTATTAAAGGCATTTCTCGTCTATCATAATCCATCATTTACCAGCTCTTCTCCTCTGAGAAGCTCAAAATTAATAATGTGTCTGAGAGCCTAGGTACATTCACCTGAGTATTTCTACAAGCCATGTCCATCTCTCATTTTCTATCAGATTTATTCTCAGGCTTTCATTTCCTCCTCTTTCTCCTGCACGCTCTTTCACAGAAACTCCAAACTTTGTTCTCCCACCTCTTAACTTCGTATCAGTGAGTTCTTTTATCTTCTGCAACCTCAGCACACTTAAGAGAATCTTTATCTGTAACAGGCCGTATTGCAAGAGTGATAACTTCTTCAGTTCAGAGTCTGTAAATACAAATATAAGCAAAAAGGTCATACCTATGGCCATGATAAAAAGGAAGTGAGTACCATTAAATGTTCGGTATTATTGCGTTAGAAATTACTGAACCAATGAATTCATTTCTCAGTTATTAGATTTAATTTACTCTCCAACAGGTAATTGATTATTGAATCAGTTTAACTACTTTAAAACACCATCGTGTATTTTATTCTAGAAAAATGCATCATATTTCATCAGCTGTTTTGTATGTTAAGCCTCAATTGTTGAAATATACGTAGGTGGTCAAATATAGATGTAGTGAAGGAAAAAAGTACAATAATGGCCTCTGAAATGTGTATTTGTAAAACAGGATAAAAGTACCTCAAATTCAAAGTGCACTGAGATACTAGACTAGGACCAATTTTATGATGCTTGTTTTAACTACTGTCCTGTTGATACACACAGTTTATTTTTTCTGCATCACAGGTGAAGTTTAGTGCCTTGCTGGAAGGAAACTTGACACCTAAGGAATAGAGCCACTTTTAACTTATTCGTTTACTTGAATAAGATCAATACCACTGTCATGTCTGCAAGTTAAATATGATGCTGTACCGCCAGGACGTGCTGAACTCTTTCTTTGGACTATTAGCCCACACACAAATTGCTGTGATACAGTATTAATTCATGTGTTAATTAGGGAGCTTTAGCCATGCTAACAAGTGGACTTTGATCAGAACCAGACCTTGATCTTCTCATCTGACTCCAAGCAAGAAAGCAAAAAAAACTATATATCTCTCAACAACTATTGGTTTAAGGGAGTATTACTCTTTCATTTTACAACCAGTTTAACCAATTTATACATTATATTCTGTTTATACGGCTGCTTTTCTAACCTATAGCTATCTGTCACTTAAAGCAATCTGCACAACTTTGCTGTTTCTACATTTTCAGTGAATATTTATTCAGGGCTTTTGAGTGGGAGAGGGACAAAAAAGAAATAAGACACCAATCCCTGAAAAGTGCTCTTATTTTCGAATGGTTTATAGGCATGTAGAAAACAAGTGTCTTGCTTTGCTTCTATAGGAAGAATGTTTCATTAGGTTTGACAAAAAGGACCTTTCTCTTGAAAACACTGACACTACAAAAAGGATTAAAATATAACTGATAAAAGGGCTGAAAAACACTTAAAAAAACTATAAAGCTCTTAACTGTCGAGCACGACTTACTAACATTCATTCTAGCTGGCATTTAGAAAATGCAGCGAAAAGAAATGGGAGAGAAAAAAAGGAATTCGGTGAATACTGAATAATAAAAAAAGCACAAGCACAGGGTTTTTCCCTCGTGGTGTATCAGTGTGACCATAACCAATCTGACAGGGTTGTCAACGGCAACAATGTTGTCATAAGTAACAGAGTTGCCGAGCGGTGGCGTGAAGATGGACAGAGCAGTGTGGAGTGAATTGGAGATAACAGGAAGTGTGACAACTGAATCTCAGCTGACGGCCCCCGACATGAGCTCTCAGCAACAGAAAAACAAGACAGACGAACACCGAGCCACGTGGGGGAGGCAGGCGAGCGGCGAGGGGCCCGAGAGCAAATGTGATAGGAGAGCAAGAGAGAAGGACAGAGGGGGAGAGATTCACGAAAGTGGAAGGAAGAGAGAGTGAAGGGAGGATGCGATTTTACGAACAAGTAAAGACTGAAGCAATTTTAACCTAGAGAGAAAGAGACAGACAGCAAGAGATTCCCGAGCCAGGATACAGTGGGCGTACAGAGAAACGTCAGAAGAGATGAAAGACTCAGAGTCAGAGAGAGCAAGAGTCAAAGCACGGAAAAGAAATTCTACCTTTTGTGAAGGCATGTCCATTCTCAGTTTGTTTTTGGCAAAACAACCAAACAACTGAACTTACCGGTTGCATTCGTGAGCCTGAAAGTGACCGACTTGTCTTCGATGTTGCACACATTGCGTACAGACACCTGGCAGGTGTAATCAGCAAAGTCCTTGGGTCTGAGGTTTTTCAGCTTCAGCACCTTGGTCTCACCCTGGTTGGAACAAAACATTCAGTTAAGGTTTGTGATTACCTGGGTGGTGATTAAACTGCCGTCTTAAATGAAACCTTTTGTCCAGCACCTAGTGCTTATAAAGTTTCCCATATTGCAAAACAGCTTTGGACAACACTGTCATCTGGCCCACATACTGCATGGAATGATGGCACTAGGGTGGTCTGCTCCTGTTTGGGCCAACACAATACCGCCAATCAACCAAAGGTGGCCCAAATTTGTTTTGTGCTATTTTGGTCACGTTCACCATTTACAACCTGGGCCACTTTAGGTTCACATCCAGATTACACCTTACCTGAATCACCGCGTTTGCCAACAGTGGCCCACAACTGTTTTGGAATATCTGGGCCACATTGGCCACTTGATATCTGTTTTGTTCAGGCCACAAGAGGGCCAGAAGTGCCACATCATTTCTTGAAGTGGTCCACATCTGTATTCTATCTGGGTGGGATGTGCATGCCTTCAAAAACTGTCTACAAAACACGAACACAACATCTTACCGAAATAGAACATTTAAAAAAGTATATCTCTCATCACATTTTATGTGATTAATATTTGAATCATATAAAAACATTGTCCAAACCATAGATCTAATCTCACCACATTACATATCACATAAGAATATATCAATGAGAAAGCTCCAAGCCTTTTATTTTAGTCTTTTCTAAACTGGGTTGTAATCTTGAATAAAAGTCACATCCATTTTTGATGAGCTGCAGTGTAATAAACAGGGTCAAAGACACACACACACACACACACTGTGTTCGTGTGCTTTCCATGCCCTGATTATCAAATGAAGTATCAAGATCTACATATGGATTACTTTTAATGATGAATTTCAAATGCATGAGACCATCAGGAAAATGAAACTGATTTGATTGTCGGTGCACACAAAAAAGGCAGAATACTCCGTCCTCCCGCTGACTATTCATGAAGCTACTGTAAGTTTCTTACCATCTCAACAGCTTTCTCTGTGCTTCTCATGCTGATGATCCCTTTCAACATCGCTGATGGTTGTTCAGATCAAGACTTCATGTCTGATACTGTTTGACTGTCAGCCTGCTCCAGTAGGTGATGGGCTAACAGTGTCTCAGACAGCTCTGAGAGGAGCTCCACTGGCTGGCTAATTGAACTCCAGGGGATCTGCTTTGTGGCTGACTGACACTTTGGGGGGTGGGGGTTATTTTGTGAAGGCAGTGATTGTGTACTCAGGCTGAGACTGTTTATTTTGTTATTTAGTCATCTTACTGCCTACCGTGGTTAACTGAATGAGCAACTTGCCGACTGATGGGATGAGAAGCTAATTCCAGTATGACTAAGAGCAGATGAGTCTCTGTTGACAGACCTAGACCTCAATCAGACCTGGTATTAACGTCCTGCGTGATCCGATCACAAGTGGTCAGCGCTAAGTTCAGATCTGAATTCACCTTGATGTGTCCTGAGATACCATCACTCAAACCACACGGAGGAGGTCTGGGGCACATGTGTCCACATTGTTTTTGCTCTGTGAACACAAATGCATCCTGGGCCACATACTGTATTAAAGAGTGCCTACTCAGCTGACATCTCTGACCTGCTAATGTTTTAAATGTGTTGGTATGATTTTCAGAGCCCATACATTATCAGCACTGATCAACAGATAATGACTTTCTCTTAAATTTGTAAAATCAGTCTTCACAGCCCAACTGCACAAGATTAATTCAGCCCCTCCTGAAGGTGACATGAGATTGTATCATAAATCGTCCTTCAACTTAAATACCAGATGTACTAAGAACTGATTGGATGTTTGAACAGGGCCGAAGAGCGAAGAACAATCAAGTAATGCTACAATAACTAAAATAAAATGCTTCTGATGTCTATGTGCATCCAGTTCATTTTAGAGCTCATGTTGCAGGAATTAATCAAATTAAATATGTTGCTCTTTTAATCCCTTACTTTTCTTTTGCTTACACTTTAGCTCTTGTGTTTTTGTTTTTCTTTAAAGGCTAACAAAAAGTGACATGTCTGTCCAAAGTCTTTAAATGCTAAATATAACTCTTACTTGAGCTCCATGCATGCTGATTTGGCATTTGGAGATTGGCATTCACTGACCTGCAGCTCTGACTTAAGGTTAAAGCTACTGGAGGGTTCAGAAATGGGGGGTTTGTGAGGGGTCAGTTAAATTCGCATGACCATGGAGCCTCTGGGTCACAACCATAGAGTTTTAACAGTGTTCACGTAAACACTGAACGTTTAGAAGAAATAGAAAGATTTCGAGTGACATTTTCTCAAAGATAAGGGTAAAACCTATAGTTACCATGCAGTGGAAAGAACATTTTACGAGAGAAAAACAGAAAGCAGAGGAGCAATGTGTCTGTGCTGCATACGTGTTCGTGTGTACCTGAGTGTAAAGCGGCTCGTAGATGTCCACTCCGTTGTCTTTGCTCTGTTCGATGAGCATGTTCCCGCGTTTCCAGATAAATCGTGCGGGAGGGTTGGAGTTGACGGTGCAGCGCAGGAACACCGTCTTCTCCTGGTAGTAACTGCCACGCACATCACTGATGGTCTGGTGCACCGTCAGAACTGGTATATCAAGGTCTGCCAAACACAGGAAAATTAAATCGTGAAGACGATTGATTATTACATTTCAGAAGCTTCAAGGTTTGATTTTGGCGCACCAAAAAAAAATCACACCAAGAAACCACAAGCTTATAGGGGCACAGTTAAAATGGCCTTTACTTTGTATGATGCTGTCGCCTTATCTGTGCAAAACATTGCTGATATTATGTGTGGCAGTGAAGGGAACTGGGACACAACTGTAAATAAGTGCTGTTTGTATAAACGTGCTGGTTGTTGGCTGAATTGCACACCAACAATGACCAAAGCTATCCAAACACTCGCCTATTGATCATCACTTCTAACGAGCACAAATGTCCAAACATTCTGTGTGTTTCTGCCATCGCCTCTCTTGCTGTGACACTCATACACACTACATTTATGTTATTTTATCTCCTTCCCTCTGCTTGCCCCATTTCTCTGTGCTTTTTCCTTCATGGGGTGTCATCTCCCTTTTCCTCCACTGGATGGGATTTCAGCTCCTGTCATGAGCATGGAGGCTGTTCTCGCCCCAGTCGCTGCCATCGCTCCAAAACTCACTGCCGCCTTCACTCCTCATCACCATCCCAGCTTCTCTATCGCCTCCTCCTTACTCCTTGCCCATATTACTTACAGGGAAGTGTGTGAGTGTGTGTGTGTGTGTGTGTGTGTGTGTAATCCCAATTCTTTGCAGCCTAATGGGAATGTTGTGGACTTCGAACATCATGGAAACGATTTCTGCCAACACCAAGGTGGCCTTTGCCTCCATTTCCCTGCCTTTCCATAATACCTCCTCTCCTTACTCCTCACTCCTTTTCCCTTTCTACTCCTGTCCCTCATTTTCTTTCTTTCGCGTCGACCCATCTCTACTGCTGTACACTTATCAAGGTGGTATGCTGCAAGCTATAGAAAAGAGGTAAGGTGTGAGTCTGCTATGTTTCCTGACACCATCAGGTGTGAGCGTGGCAGTGACCGTGTGATGCAGGAAGGAAAGAGGGAGATGTTTATTGTATTTTGGGTTGGAAACGCTTGTGTGGATAAGCACGCTTGATTTTAGAGCGTGCTGTTGATAAGGGCACAGCTGTCAGACAAGGGCTGCACACACACACACACACACACAGACACACACACACACACACAAAGGCACATGCATGCTCTCACACTCACATCTGAATCCACACCAAAGCGTTTCTAGCCTCAGTACAGCATCAGAGCACTTTTGTGGTTTTAAGTCTGGAACTCTGGGGCAGACACATAAATGCGGACATTGCATGAGACTTGTCTAAAGGTGTATCACAGTGGCATGGAAAAAGTTTCTATATATTTAAAAGCAAGCCTGTTAGAGCCTATACTATCTCAACAATTATTTGTTATGTGACAGTAGGTGAGGTCATGGTCTCTTTGACCTTTCCTGCCACTAGCAGGTCAAATATTTCAATTATTCTTTAATACATGTTCTGTCTGGGTAATAACTGAAAATGTAAAAACACGCCCTACATCGTGATGTGAAAGTGAATAATAATTCCTGGATCTACCCCAAAATTTAATGGGGGCCTGACCTGTACCCCCTGCTTCCACAAACATTTTTTTTTTTAATTTGTGCAATAGTTATTGTGTCATCCTGCTGACTATAAGACAGACAAACAAACAAATGCAGACGAAAACATAACCTCCTTGGCAGAGGTAAAAAAAGAAGGGGTTGAAAAAAATAAATTGTGAGCCTCATATACTGTTTGACACGAGTGAGCTGTTTACTTTGTGTATTTTTGTGTATCTGGATGTTCTTAGTCATTCAGGCCTGAGTTCTGTGAAGTGCTCATCTCCATTCCTTTTGTTCCCCTGTGGACACCCTCATTCATAAAATGACATCCCACAATTCGGAACAAAAAGCCCAGCAGTAACCCAAACAGTGAGCTACCACCAGTCCCTCTAAAAGCCTCTGCCAGCAACAGGCCATCAAACCTGGGCACCTTTCAAAGACACCTGACTCTTGGTTCTGCCATGTGCATGTGTGAGGGAAACAGATCTGGCAAAGAGTACCTTTGTACACTTGAATTTGTGAAAATGTGTCTGCATCAGTGTTTGTGTGTATTTGTCTGTGACTGGCACAGGTTTTCTGGTTTCTGTATGATTTTCACAGATCATTTGCAGTGCAGAGGGATTATCAGCTGACTAATATCCTGGTAGTATATGTGTGTTTGTGTGCGTGTGTGTGTGTGTGTGTGTCAGTAAGTGTGATCTGCTGTCTGTGTGTGACACTATGGTTGAATGTGGTGAAAGCAGTGAGTGACAGAGGAAGTAAATAGGGACAGGTTGACTGAATATGGACAAACACTAGAGTCACTCAGAGGTCATGTATACATGGCACATTTCAGCTTTAAATTGAATTTGTTGAGGAGTTGAAATGACTACATGTCAAAATGCGATTGTAGAACAGTTCACTCTGCGACACACATGGTCAATTTAAAGGTCCTGTGTAGAAGAACATTGTATCTTTTTTTATCATAAGGTTTTACAATTCTCATTCCATGCAGAGATGCACACTGCCTGGATTTAGAAACTGTGTGTGTCTGTGAAGCTGTCAGGATTTGTAACTGTGATATGTCACAATGGTACATATTCCCCCAGTATGATCCACCCAGATCGCTGACCTGAAATATTCTGTACTTCTACTTGGTTTGTATTAAAGTATTCTAGCTTTTCCAATTATTCGCTTTCAGTCTATTTCATGCTTTTTGTATTTCTACGAACTATTGGTTTACTTATATCTTACTGTTTCAAGTTTCCTGTTTTATCAATCAAGATTTTTTTTTTAGATAATGTTTTACGAGTAACACTTGGACTCTCAAGAAGTTATAACATTTGTGTGTGTAGACTACAAACGTGCTGACTCATAATTCTGGAGACTAGAGCTCAGAAAAACAAGTGCACTTGTTTTTATACATCTCACATTTTGCTCTTAAACATAACCCTCCTTCACGTTCCTTCCTTCCTTCCTGTCTACAGTCTCAATCAATCCCAATCTGGCTCCTTCTCCTGGTAATACACTCGCCATATTAATTTCTGCTGTCCTAGCTGCCCGATCTGCCCCTTCCCTCAGGTCTCTGATTCTGTGGCCACACACGCTCCCCTGGCTGGCCACGAAACACACAGTGTCGCTGCACTTTTCGTCCAGATGATTGAGAGGCCAGGGAGAGTCCGCTCTTAGCAGGGGCATTGGGCTGTGCCACTTCTGTATTTTAGCTGGATGCTCCAACACCGCAGATGGTCACATCTGCCAAATGATCCAGGGGTTTGCACCTGAACCAGGCCCAAGGCTCAGGTGTATACCCCCAAATTAAATCCAGCCAGTAGAGTATTGTAGTCCTAATTTGACAGTAAGCTAATTTTACTGACTATCAGCATCTGCATTTACTGGTGAGTTTTACCAAGCTACATGAGTGGGCTCTAATCAGTTACCTTTAGTCGGCCTGGGTGTGAGGCTCAGGCCTTGTCTACACTACTGCAGATATTTCTTTAACTGATATATTCCCCCCCGTCCACATGACATTCATTTCACAAAATATCTCTGTCCATACAAGAACACAAAAATAAGTAAACCAGTCAAACGATCATCCCAGGCAAGTAATAAAGTCTCCATCATCGATAAGTCAAATACCCCCAAAAAATTGAGAGCTTATTCTCCTTTTGCACTCCGGTCCAAGTTATTTTGGGCGAGGCAGTTGCCTGTAAATACAAGTTTTTCAAAATGCTCCATTTTACAAGCACAAACACATATACATGGAAAAAGATGTGAAAGTGTGGAGAGGGCTTTTCTTCTGATTGGCTGACTGACCTCTTGTTGCTAGAGCTCCAGAGAGAATCATGAGAGAGATGAAAAGCATCACTGAGATGGGTTTTGGTCCTTCAAACTACAAATATGTCCTCTTATCGATATCAAAACAGGGACCGCAAAGTAGTCATGGATAAAACGATTTTTAACATAACAATTGTGTTGTTGACGCTTTTATAACCCAAACTCCCGAGGTGATTCCAACTTTACTCAGTTTGGGCCCTTAAGTAAATAGAGACACTAGATGAAACTGCAAGTGTACAGAAATACAATATGAAACTTTAATGAAGCTTCTGATTTCCCCAAAGTCCTGCCTTTGCACACAGCTCAGATCAATTGCACTGCACTGCTTTTTGTTAGCCACAGCTTTTAATGTACATCTATACTTCCAAATATTTCAAGCTAAACTGGGAGTCGGGCATTGTTTTCTGCTTAGACATTAAACAGTGGTGCTGACACAAAGACATTTCACTGTAGTTCTCCATTAGAGTGGGGCCCTTAGCTTGGACAAATGAAAAGCATGTCGCTAAAGTACACATTCACATATATTTTGTTACTTTTATACCAAGTCATAACAAATAATACAAACTGTAAACTTTGCAACAAAATGGCAAACAGCAAAAATAGCATCTGATTTTTGTCTGTCTTTCAAATAAATCCTTTGCATGTTTGTTTAGGAATATAATCTTTTGTTTAAAACTGATGACATGAGAATTAAACCAATTTGTATTTTAATTTGAAGAAATGATGCTACTTTTGTCACATTATAAATTCAATTAATACAAATGAAGATTTTTAAATCATTGCACTGTTGATGCTCTTTAACTCTAAGTGAGTCAAAGTCAAAAATAACAAATATTTTTCTTGATAATTAAATGGCTTCATTAACATATTGGTATTGTTAAAATCCACAAAACTGTACGTCTTAAAAGTGTAAGCTCTTGTAGAGATTTTCTTTATGGGCACTTGTGTTTATCTTCTTTATTCATTTTTTCTGCATTTGGAAAGACTAGAAGGACTTGGGATAAAAAATAATCCCTCACTGGTTTCACATCAACAAGGTCACATGTATGAGTTCACCTTCGCTACCTCTATCATTTGAAATTATTTTTTTCACAGTTTTGATAAACTCAGACAGAAGAAATACAAAAACAGCTCCAAACTGGAAAAC